CTGACTGGGAAAAGGTGAAGGGGTCAGGTGGTGTGAATGGACCGGGTTAGGGTCTCTGATGTGGGTTTAGCGTGGACCCAATGCCCTTGAAACAAAGCTCCTGATTGGGTGATTGGAAAAGGTGGGAAGTGGAATCATTCATTTCGATCTAGATTTGAAGATAGACGAAAAATCTGTAACACATATCTTATAATTCATTTTGCTTCAAAGTTATGTAGGGTGCCAACATATTACCACAGCATGAGATCTACATACTTGAGGTAACAGTGGGAAAATAAAATGGATTAGGAACGCCATCTAGTGGAACATCTAGCACCTGGTCATGCTGTGAATGGAGATCAGGTCAATAAAGGTATAATCCATATTGATTAAGTTGCCATTGAGCTATAGTTAAGAGTACAGCAACATCATGACATTCTTGTCATTGAATCTAACAAGCAAACCCCACTGTATTTTATAAATGGCTTCAATCAAACGGAAGAAACCACATAATTACTTGTTTTCCTCCTTTTGTGTACTTATTAATGGCTTGGCAAAGTCACTAAAAGTCCTTCTGACAAAGGGGGAAATCAGGGTTTTCCATCTTGCAGAGTTAACCCAGAGACCAGCATGCTGAAAAGCTCCTTGTAAGCTAGAAAGAGGAGGTGGAAAATGTGTGTCAGCACACTGAATAGCCACTGCCTGCATGGGAATGAAGCCTCAAGTATGTCCTTACTCTGCTTTTCCTCATCACCCTTGACATTGCATTATGAAAATATTTGCCAAATGAGGCTAAGGTTATGCCCCCCAAAATCTATGTTTGACCTCAGTAGATTTTTCCTCTCATAAGAGATGGATGATGTCATTTTAATAGAAACCACTAATGATTTACGGTAAATAGTATTTTCGATTGAATTGTCAGCGTTTCTTGTAAGCATCTGCTTTTCATGCCAGATGAGTGTTTTTTCCAAAATGAATGGGGAAACCGACCCTAAAAAATCTCGAAGAACAATTTGATAAGGTAATTAATTTACTTTCTTGAAGTAATGACACGTCTTAGTTTTTCCAACAAACACTCCAAAATTGAAAGATATTCAGTTTTCCTCAGTAAAGATGAAAAGAAAAAACCTTTTTTCGCAAAAGAGAAACGGGAAATGCCAAAGCTATATTATTTAATTGAATCTTGATCAAGCTATTAAACTAATTGTTTGAACTCTTTTGATGTTTTCTGGCCTGAGACTCCCAAAAACTTTCCCTGAAACCAATTACAACCAAGATTTATTTATTGACATAATAATCTTATAATGACATTTGTTACCATACAATATTAGATTGTTTTCTTACATAGAAATCGTAAGAAACATCACTCATTCAATCATTTTAGTTATTCTGCTTAGGAGCAGCCATTGTTTGCCAAAGAACAAAATCACAAAAGAGTACTTTTCGAAATTGTATTGGGCTTGTTCAAGCAACCACATGACATTCCCAAGAGTTTCTGTCATTTCTCAGAACAGGACAGTTCTTGGACTTGGAGGAAATAAATCTACTACTAGCAAATCCTCGCTAAGAATCTTTGTGGTGTTAGTGGAAAAAACCTCAAACATATTAAACCCCACACTTCCACTTCCTTCATCATCCAGGAATAAATCAGAAGTTGTCATGCCACCGTCGACATCTTCACCCAAGTGGTGTTCTTTAACATCTTCTACCTCATGGTCTTCAGAACCTCTGCTCGTGTTGTCTCTCCTGAACTCAGCATCCTCAGATGTAAAGCTCCAATTACCCACCCCTTCTTTTTGCTCCGTTGTAGCTGTAGCATTTGGAAAATACTCCTTATCAGCTGGTATGGATGGTGTCTGGGTTGTAGCTTTGACACCACTGAACGAGGCACTTCCAAGAACATCGGCGTAGGTGACAGCCACCACCCTGGCGGGGGTCTTTGGCGGCCTGACAATGACCGCCTTTCCAGACTCATTGGTGAATCCATTGGGCTTATTTCCTTTCACACGTGTGGCTCTCACAGTGCTGCTGGTGGAACTGTAAAGCGGGCCCATTCCAACAACTTTGGTTGGCATCCTTGGCTCAAATGTTGGGCTGGATTCAAATGTGGGTCTTCCGTCTGATCTGAGAAAAGATGAGGACGCTATGTGTTCTAGTGCTGTCCTATTAAGATTTGCATTTCTGTTTGGAACTGGCTGAAATCCTAACAATGTGTAGAGGTTGCGTCTCTTTTGGTATGTGTCCAGTGAAGTGTCAGTGCTTCCTGCTTCCTTTAAAGTTGGTTTAAGGTCTTCACTGCTTACCTCATTTTGGCTCACTGTGGATACATGGCTGTGTTTCTGTTGCAATATATGTGGGCTTTTAGGTTGAAGAGCTTTAAACCCCTGCTGGACTCTAGCAGACTTTTCTGGCTCACTAACTACAGTTTTGGCTCCCTCAAGTGGTCGAGTACTAAATCCATATATTCTTCTATAGTTTTTAAATGGTCTTCCATCACCAGTTTTATGCTGCATAGTAGATGTTTCCTTAAATCCTGTCGTAAACGGCCTTATAGTAGGTTTGGTTTGGACGATATCTAAAGTCCCAGGAAAAGGGTCATCTGTTAGGGACTTCTCAAGTTTGGCGGGTATGGCTGCTTGTCTCCGGCTAAAGCTAAACCTTGGTGAGAAAGAAGGGTGTATATTAGCTTCCTTTCCTTGGTCCAAGCTGTAGCTTTGAGGGTTGGTTCTGTCATTAGAGACTTGGCCCTTCACACCTCTCCATGTTGGATTTATAAATCCTCTGAAGCCATGGATGCTTTTTACGGTTGTTCCAGGTTTGTTGGCATGCTTTGATTCTCTTGTGGTCGTATCACTACTTACTGGGGATGTATCACTAACAGTTGTATTGTTACCCTGGAAATCTGCATGAGGAATAGGGTCAACACTTTGAATGGTGGCGTCTTTCCCAGGATGTTCAGAGATTTGAGTTATGTCTTTATATTTACTAAAACTCTCCGTATTAGGACCATACTGGGCCACATTAGCATTATTTAACAGTGGTTTGGCCTCATCAGATAGCCGTTTTACTTCCTGAGTTGAATCTTTTCTTTGTTTAACAATTGAAGCAAACCTGCTGTAAACTTGTGAATCAGGGGCCTGCTGCTGATGTGGCGTCGGGAAAAAAGCGGCAGGTCCATCACTAGTGGCTGTATGAACTCTCTCATGTCCAGAGGTCAGGGAGTTCTTGAACAGATATGACTGGAACTTTTTGTTTCTTGGCACCTCACTGCTGCTCACTGAATTCAACTTCTGGGAAAAATCTGTATGTGGTGAAGTCAGTTTTTCTGGGCTGGGGATGCTTTTAATAACATAGTTAACTAAGCTGTTGCTGACTGATGGCGGATGAGGGGCGGGTTGACTCGAGAAGCCGAAAAATGTGCTCCGTGCCCCAGATGCGAGGGGCTCATTAACCTCTTTATAATTCCCTCTTGAAGTTGGCAGTGGAGCACTCCAATATCTAGCAGTCTGGGATGAAAAAGGAGAAGGGGAGGCATATCTGGGAACTTCTTCTTTGATGTAGGAATTCTGAGCATCCCAAACTTGTGACGGACTGGAGCTTAGATGAAAGGGACGGGAAGCTTCTTTTAGAGATGATTTTCTAATGGTCACTGAGTTTGATCTGTATGAATTACCAGAGAGTGGTTGGTAACTGCTTGCTGGCCTATTTAAATTCTGCACTGCTGGAGACTCTCTGTTATCTGGACTGTTTTGATTGTAACTAAAGCCCTCTGTAAAACGTACAGGGTTTGGCCGTTGGTAGATGATTGACGAAGCTACTCTAGGATTCCCGCTTGTCTCAGTTTCACCATTAGTCCCAGTTTGGCGTCCAGTTTGAGTTGATGGCTGACCAGTGAAGAGGGGATTGTGCTGACTGCGTGGAATATACCGTTTTCTCAGACGCTTGTGCTTCACTCCATCGTTCACCTGGGTTGTTATGGGGCTGTCTGAAGGAGAAAAAAAAATGTAATTATTCTAATGCTGTTACACAGGCAAATCAACCTGTCTTCGATTTTGTATGTTCATTTTATAACCTCTATTTAGTTTAATATAAACCTGAAATTACTCTGCCTCAAATACATTTGTACATTGTTAAGACAGGATGCAATAAATGTCAAACAAAATCATTATCTCTTTTACATTTTTGTCAAATTGCCAAGAAAAATCTGGCAATACAATTCTAGCTCCACCCAACCCAATCTGCCATCACATGCCTTACCCTCCTGACATTTTTTTTCCTGCTATTAAAATAAGCATTAGCTCACAAAAACTGCAAACACAGCAGGATTAGTCTGGCAGATCCTGGCCTGTTTGCACTCACCTCTTGCAGCTTCTGAGCACATGATAAACGACATGACAGCTGCACAGACCAGAGCAAAGGCAAACAACAGCCTGCAGGAGAAGATAAAAAGAACAGGCACAGGAGTTTTTAATGGTATTCATGAGAAGTGTGAGGCTGTCACTCAATAATAATCAACCCTTTTACAAGTTGTATGCCTACATGTGTGTACAAGCGTGTACAATTGATATTTACCTTGAGGAGAGAGCAGCATTTCGTAACATGATGGAAGGATTTCTCAAGAGGTTTGAATGATAGCCAAACAAATAACTTGGAATAAGTTGTCGAGTTGGCAATCCATGTGTTTTACTTGTCAAACAAGTTGGAGATCCAGGCTCTGCTGCTGGTTGAGTCTGATTGGATGCAATGCTGTGCACCTGGTCTCAAGTAACCTCCCCTCCCAGTTCCCAATTTTTTATTTAAAATATTTTCTTTAAATATTCAATCTCTTTTGAGTTCTGTGTTTGTCTTTTAATACAATCATATGTTTGCCTCCACTGTGAATTGTATTTTGTAAAGCCTGCTTTTACTTTGTAGAATGTGCTAGGCTAAATACAATGTTATTTTTATTTTTTTTAAAGTTGCACACTCAAGCCGTCTTTTTTTTCAAAGAAATGCACACATGACTCACCCAAACTCTTAGGGAAAATAGCTTCAAAGTAATTTGAAACCAGATTTATTTTGCCATAAATATGTAACAATATTTAATTAAATACATTCGTCAAAAATAATAAATACCACATACAGTACATAAGTGCATAAATAGGCCTTAAATAAAACAGCTTCATAGTGTTCATCGTTTAAAGTAGCAATCAGAAATCTGAAAAGCTGACATTGTTGGCTGTGTGTGGCCAGTAAGGTTTCATCATCATCATCATCATCATCATCATCATCATCATCATCATCATCATCATCATCATCAAGTCCATGTTGCGAATGAGAACCATTGAAAATAAATATAGTGTCACATTGTCCAGGGTCACTGAAATTGTGGACTCCTTAAAACATAAAGCCGGTCATCATGGCGATGTTCCTCAAGTCGTCATTGGTCATACAGTCTGTGAAAGAAAAACAAGACACATTAGAAAACATGTTTACAAAATCATTGATGACTTTATAAAATAATCTGAACCCTTAAGTGTGAATATTGAACTTTATCACAAAGCTAAATGTGACACATTCTTTGAACTTTATATTCTTAAAGGTCTAGTTCAAAAGCATGCTGTAACTAGTGGTGGAATGTAACCAAGTAGCCTACCTTTACTTAGCCTACAATGCACAGTATATCCATTTTAAGGAGTATTTTTAACTCCTTAGCGAAACTAACTTCTTAGCAAAATCGCTGTCAGTTTATTTTCTGTTAACCCACTCGTGATTTAACTCACCTAAATATAATGTTGTCTGCTTTTATCTATACAAAATAATTTTATTTTAAAGGTTTTTCCTAATTATTTTGTGTCAAAATCAGAATGTATAAAGTAACTATAGTATAAAGTAGAAACATGTACTTCCAAAATGTAGTAGAGTAGAAGTTTAAAGTTCAGTACTTGAGTAAATGTACTTAGTTACTTTCCACCACTGAGTATTTTTTTTATATTTAGGGTACTTTTATCTCAAGTCTGAGAATCTAGGCTACTTTCTAACCCCATTGAAGTAGTAGAAGTATAAACAAATGGAAATACTCAAGTAAAGTAGCCTACCTCAAAATGTTACATAAGTAGGCTACAGTCCTTGAGTAAATGTAGGCTACTTAAAAGTTACATTCCACCACTGTTGCCTAATGATTTGTCTCGCTGACTTTTATTTACTTCGGCAGGCCAAGCTACCACTTGAAACAGTACTTCTGAACCACAGTTTACTTACTTTCTCCGCCCCTCTGCCGAGAGCTCTTCCCACTTAACAACCGCCAAACTTTCCTGAAGGACCGCCGGAGCCCCCTGCCTCTGGAGCCCGGGGAGGCGTTGCCTTCCTCGGCTGGAGTCTCGGGGAACTCCTCGGTGTCGTCACAAGCGTCTAGCCCGGGACAGACCTCTTCCTCCGGGTTATCGTCCTCCTCGTCTTCCTGGTCGAGGACTCCCGAGGATATGAGCCGCTCCAGGACGCACTCGTCAACCCTCAACTCGGCTCTCAGCGTCCCGGAGATGGAGGTGGTTTGTCGGCACAGCGGACAGACGATGGGTCCCTGGGGTCGTGAGAGGGCCAGGAGGCAGGACTCGCAGAAGCTGTGTCTGCAGTGGAGCTCCCGGGGACACCGACGACCTGTGTTGTAGGTCCGGTAACAAATCCCGCACTCCTGCTCGGTACACATGTTGCTTTCTGATCTGGTGATTCAGATTGGAATGAGACAAGAGGTGAGCTATCCAGACTGTATACCTCAGGGTGGGTGTGGGGGAGTGCGTGGGAGGAGACTACGAACTATATGGTTTAGGGCCAAATGAAACGTATGAGTCATAAAGCTCCAAGTGATGTAATGAAACCAAAACAACACAACACACCATTGTGTATGAGTCATAAAGCATGTAGTCCTATGTTGTTGTTTTAAAAAAATAATATTTCCTCTAGAACATGTTGAAACACACTACTCGAAATAAAAATAAACCAGTGATTCACAAACCAAACCATTTCCCAGGTAATAATGAGAGTACACATAGCTTTGTGATTTAAAAGAGCACTCGAAACCAACGCAGGACTCAATAAAACAGGATTAAAATAATACAAAATAATGAAACAAAATATTAAATATACAATTAAATAAATAAACAATATATTAAATATTTCCTGTATCAGAAACAGTAGGAATGTAATGCTTACGAAGTCCAATTGTCTTAAAATAATCTTGATTTTAACACAAATGTTACAACTTTCACAGTGTGTAACATACCTTGATCAAATAATAAGACAAAAGAAAGCTCCTGTTCATTCAGAATAAAATAGACAAAACACAAACCATGTCCTGTTTCCAGTCTTACTCTGCCACTTCCCCTGTCTGATCATCACATCCTTATTACAGTTGATCCATAAATAACCTCTTTGACAGTATATGACAATTATATTTAGAATATTTATTGAATATACAACTTTTGGGGTTTTTCCACATACACAGTTAAACAATGAATGACCCTGAGCCAGGAGACATCAAACGGACCTAAGACGTAACCAAATACGTTAAAGATTAATCACAGTTTGTTGGATTGGAATCATTCATTGGGAAGCCCTATTTATGGTCATAGCGCTTTAAAAAAAAAAATCCAGTAAACATATGGGAAGGATATCCCTTCTTAATACTCCCCCTCCTTTATTAAACTTGAATTCAAGTGCTAACCCTCCTTGCACTTCCCACTGATACTGAAGGGTGTGTGTGTGTGTGTGTGTGTCTGTGACGTCAGCCAGACGTCACTATGGTAATCCTATCGGTTGTTTCAGCAAGAACTCCTTTCATGGTCATTGCCGCTGAAAACTTGGCAGACAATCATAGTTCTCTGTGTGTCAGTGTGTGGTGTGTGTGTGTGTGTGTGTTGGTGGTGTGTGTGTGTGTGTGTGTGTGTGTTGTGTGTGTGTGTGTGTGTGTGTGTGTGTGTGTGTGTGTGTGTGTGTGTGTGTGTGTGTGTGTGTGTGTGTGTGTGTGTGTGTGTGTGGTGTGTGTGTGTGTTTTGATAGCAACAGCATAAAAGAGAGCTTTTAGATTTCTGTATTTACTGTGTGTGTCATGTAGAGTGAGACACTTAGTTGGAAGATTGGAGCAATGCGGGAAAAACAAATCTAGACCTTGATATTGATCATAAAGACTTTATTAAGACTGTAGTGGTAATTGTTGCAATTTTTCCTAGTGGTGCTTTTTTATGATTCTATGTGTGAGTTTACAAATCTGACTGTTGAGTCTTATATTGTCTGGTAGAGGATATGAAAACAAGTTAACCTATTCTTTAACTGAAGTGACAGTGATTTTATTAGCTAATCCAATAGTTTTGTAAATGATTAAGGAATACGGTAAATGTTTCAAACCAAAGGAAAGCCCAATATTTAAAAAAAATCTGATTATAGACTATGTTCTGATCTGAGTCAGATTGGTAGTGTAAATAGCAGAGTTCGCGTAAAGGCACATTCTGTTGTTCAAGCCTACAACTAAATCAATGAGGGTGAAACTGAAACATTACCATGGGTGATGACGAATGTATCAATCCGTAATTAATCTGTTTACTCAATGTTCTGAACATTAACTGTCACTTATTGACATTTACACATTTTTATTAGACATGATCCACTAGAATGTGAGATGACTTTAAGTAAAGTAGGAAAACTGTACAATGTTAATAATTTCACCCTTAGCCACACACTACTATTTTAAAACGGCTTCATGCTGACTGTGTGGAATCATAATAACATCATATGGAAGTAGACTGGGAATCTGTCATTTTCTATCTTGTGTGTCTTAGTTACCCTCACATCACCAAGGGTTTAATTACTGCCGAGCAAACCGCAGAGACTCCTCATGAGAGAGGAGGACGAGTAAAATCAGGTGAGACGGAGGGAAAACAGAAGGCTGCCAGTAAGCCGAGCTTCATCCACATAGCTACAGGATATCAAGATTGAAACTTGTTAATGTGCACACAATACGGGGAGGAAGGCACTGCCAGGATGAGATCTGTACCAACATGAGGAGAATTGTGCAAGGGGAAGTACCGGGCATCAAAGTGTCCTCTGATCAAAGGTGGGTAAGTCACTCTGTTATCTGCTTCTTAGGTGTGAGGATGAATCACTGCCAGTGGCTCTCAATATAATCTCTATGAACCTGCTGGCCTAGATATAAGGGGGCTTATTTATTTAACACTTTCCTGTCACAACTTGTTTGTCATATAAATGCTTCTTGTTGCTGTTTATTGTATTTTAACACCCATTCTGTTTCTGGTTCTAATGTGTTTTGAAATGCGTTGCCATGGACCAATTCACAGGAGACCACACCTGCTAAGCAACAATCCGTGCGTAGTAGTCGTCCCATGTGAGCAATAAACGAAAAAGGGTGTCAGCAAAGCAAGTTCGTAAGAAGCCATCAGCAAGTTGACTCAGAATAAATACTAAAAACAAGTGGGTTGAAAACGACATGTCTACGTATTGACATAAACTTAACTTTTGGTAGTTAAGCAGAGCCAAGCTAGCATTCCCCTTCATCTCCAGTCTTTATGCTAAGCTAACTGCTTGCTAACTGTTGCCTTCCATTGAAATTAGTGGTACCAATCCTGACATAACGCCTGTGAAGAAAGCGAAAAGGCGTATTATATAACAAAAATATGAAACTATTCTTTGGACATTGACATATTTGACTCACACACATTTTAGTTTATAGTGACAACAACGTCTTAACATCAGTAGTTTTAATGTATTACAATTTCAACAACTTGTTATTGGACTTCCATGAGTTAGTTAAATCTGGTCAAAATCATATCAGTTGAATTCTCATATAAAGGTCATGGTACTAAGATGTTGGCTCCTACATTTCCCATGATGCCACTCAAACGTGTGTTTTGTTGAACCCTCCCTGCACGATTGCTCTTTTAAACTTCATGCTAACACAAACGGACTCATAACAAGTCAAAGCTACGGTAAATTACACCATCAGGGTTTTATTTTTTGCAGACAACTCCAAAATCAGTTGAGTGCCCCTTTAAACGACTGAACAAAAACATACACACAAACACATGCACACATGCAGAAAGCATCATTACATTGACTTATTACTTCCTTTCTCAGCTCTACTTATGCTTTGCTTGTTTTGCATTTCCCTACATCCTGCACATACTCAGAGTGTGCACACACTTCATGGATGATTGTGAGTATGTGGGGGGGAATGGGTAGATGGTTTAGTGGTTAAATGGATGAACGATATGACTCATGGACTGTGGAATCTGTTAATAAAACCAAGAAGACACAAAGCGATATCCCAGGGAGAGCAGATCCTGGCATCTAAAAGTCACGTAGGCCTCTGGTGTGCTCTTAGTTAACTTGTTTTCTCTATTCAGATTTTTACCAAAGATTCATCCACTTCTCGCCATAACTGAACTACATCCAGCATGGCTGAGAATGTTGCCCCCGCTCCCCAGCTAGGGGACCCTGCTGCAGCACCCAGCCTCAGCAGTACCCCTGGGGACCCGATGGATGTGGAGTGTCCCATCTGCTACCAGGAGTACAACCAGTACAATAAGAGCCCCCGGATGCTGGAGTGCACGCATGTTTTCTGCACCGAGTGCCTCCAGAGGATCCAGCTCTGCCCCAGCGAGCCCTCCAACCCCAGCAGCCCGTCAGCCCTCCCCTGCCCCCTGTGCCGCCACCTCACCGCTCTCACCTCCGGGGACGCCCTCTCCTTACCCTGCAACTCCCGCATCCTGTCCAGACTCCCCCCCGCCACCTACTGCCTGCCCATGACCATGGCTACACACCTGGCCACCATCACCCAGAGAGTGGTGCTGTCCCTGGAGGGCGACAGCAGGGACACTCACTTCATCATCCTGCCCACCGTCAGCCTGCGGGTGCAGCAGATGCACCCGGAGAGGCCGTACGGGATAGCGCCGGGCATTTTGGGAGAACAGGAAGTCTTAGAGCAGAGCAAGAGGACACTGTTCTGTGTGCAGCTGCTGGCCGTCACCTTCTGGGTGCTGTTTGTGATCACGTGCGTGGTCGGGGTGGTGTTTGGGCCACATTTCATTAACAGGAATCATTAGTAGGAAGCTCTTCTTTTAGCTAGTGATATTAAATTATGATATGAAGCACTGTATAAAGTAGGTTGACACATGAATTTTAAGAGAATATTAAACACAAACTTCGTTGAAAATATGTTTGACCACTATTGTTGGTATCTACCCTGTTGATCTGGGACCAATTTATATTCAAATGTTGTTTATAAAATACCAACATTTACACCAATTCTGACTATTGTACTGAATATGTGTTGCTCTTTCATTATTGATAGACTGATAAAGAGTTCCCTCTAGTGGTTAATTTGGTGATGTATGAGATGAGATCACAACTTTAGATAAAAGGATCAAAACTAAATCTGCTCTGTTTTCTTAAGTGTTTTTTTCTCTGTGCCTTTTTAGTAAGTGTATAGCTGTCCTGCTAATGCATAGATTTGAATAAAGCTGATTTACATACACATTGGGTCTCTCTTTTTCCTTTTTCTGGTACAAAGAAAGATATACATATACAATTTATTTGTGTTTCCAATTTTTTTTTTTATCCTGACTTAATAAAAGTTTTATTTTTCAAATGATTTAAAAAAACAACGAAGTTATAATGGGCTATTGTTGACACAAAGTATGTCAGTACCAGATTTAAATCCGAGCAAATGTTGTGGCATATTCTATCAAACTAAATATAGTCTTTGGCACAAATGGGGCTAACCCCACTTCTACCAGCTGCAACATTGAAGTGATGCATCAATAATATTTTCTCCACTGATATAATAATGATGTATAGATAGATGTATAGATAGATAGATAGATAGATAGATACTTTATTCATCCCCAATTTGGAAAGTATTTGGTCACAGCAGCAGTCTTGTCAAGCATGAGTTAAACGATTTAAAAGAGAGAATAAGATACATATATAATACAAATGAAAATTAACAACCAATATATAAAAATGTACAGTAGAAAATACATGTATCACTAAAGTATCTAAATTATAGACAATAGGTACAAAGAAAATACCAAATACATTTGAATACTCTTTCACTAGGCAACATAATTATACTACAGAAACATATGACATTGGATTATATATAGATTATATTAAGTTTAAAGATAAGATACATTGAAATAGAACCTTTATTAATCCACGTAGGGAAGGTCATGTGTCATAACAGCAACCGACTACAAAAAGAAACACAGATAGTACACCTAATAAGAATAAAAGTCAAATAAAAAATACTATGAAATAAGAAAAATTATTATTTATTATAAACATGTATTAACAGTATTAATATGCAAATAATGTGAGTTTAAATACGAGTTAAAGTGTATTTGAATGCAGGACTCTTACTTGTAAAAGGACATTATTATGGTAGTATTTCTACTTTAGAGCTTATATCCCTAAATAATAAAAATGCTGGTGGTGTTGAAGGGTGGTTGGGAGCGTACGTAAATCAAAGGGGGCTACGTAATGACGTCACACGCCGCGTTGGCTCGCAAAAAGTGGTGAAAAGTTTTCTAGACCCCCTCCCCTGTATGTTTTTGTTGGGGGAAAAGTTGTTGGTAGTTAGGTCGTGTGAATGTAGCGTTTCCCCGTCGGTTTTTTTCGCCCCTCGGTAACAATGCGGGGGAATGCGCACAGTTTTCTACTACTTTAAAGTCGGACCGCGAGTTTGTGAGCAGCGTTACAGACGCATTACGTCCTCCGGCTCGGACTGAAAAATCTCAGTGGCCATCATCGTTTCACCTCTGCCGTCTCGTTAGCCACCTAGCTGCTAACTAACTCCCCAACAAAGTTAACCTCGCCTCATAGTGTTTGCTTCTCCCGTGGCAACTTCCAGCAGAGATGGCGGAAACCAAAATAATTTATCACATCGACGAAGAGGAGACGCCGTACTTGGTGAAGATACCCATTGCTGCCGAAAATATAACTTTGCTGGATTTTAAACAGGTCTTGAACAAGCCAAACTACAAATTCTTCTTCAAGTCTATGGACCAGGACTTCGGGTGAGCTGCTGGGTTTTCTTTTTTTAATCCTTTAGCAGGGAAGAGCTTTGTGGTTTCCCTGCAACATTAGGAGTGATAAACAGCTGGTAGTAAGAGTACACATATTTAAATGCAGAGGTGGAAGAAGTACTCAGGTCCTAGTAAAAGTACCAGAGTGTAGGAATGTTACAAGTAGAAGTCCAGCATTCAAAATGTTATTCAAGTCAAAGTACAGAAGTATTAGCATCAACATCTACTTAAAGCACCATAAACAGATTCCAAAAATAATACATATTATAATGTGTGATGCATTAAAGTGTTTATCAAAGGTGCAGCTAGTTTTAATGACTTTGTATACTTCAGGGTAAATTGTGAATTTCAAACCAGGTGTAACTAAAATGTTGTTTATATTCCACATTATTAATGAAAATCTGCAAAGTAACTAAATATATGACATAAAAGTAGTGGAATAAAAGTACATGATTTAACTCAGGACTCTAGTTGAGTAGAAGTAGCAAAACAATGAAATACTCAAGCAAAAGTACCTCAAAATTATCCTTAACTGCAGTACTTAAGTAAATGTACTTAGTTACTTTACACCACTGTTTAAATGCTGTGACAAAAGTTGTACACGTTGTAAAACAGCCTTTATTTTCTTAGTGGGGGAGCGTTAACTTGGCGTAAGTAAACACTTAACATTCTTGGCTAATTAAAAAACAAAACCTTACAGGAATGCATGCATGTCAGAAAAGGCATGCAATCCTATCTTGTGACCGGCTGTCGTGTATTTGTCAAACGGGGTGAAAACGTATGGTGAAAGGATAATAAACTTGAATGAAGCAGGTCGCCATTGAACCTCTCCTAATCAGTAAAAAGTTACAACGACTAGTGATGAATTTCCAAGTGCTTCTATAAATACTGAGTGTCTGTAGGCTGGGGACATTTCACAGAAAACCTCATCATTACAATGGGTGGCATTCCCTGTCCCTGCTGCTTTCCTTTGCCCTAATCCTCATCCCTCCCACCCCCCTTCAGTCCATCATCTTGTGAAATCCTTCGCCTTTTCATTCTTTCGGGACTGAGGCCAGGGTTTTGTCTCCCCTCTTTAACACTTTGGCCTGCCAGCCATCCTTTCATTCCCTGGCTTCCTCCCTTCCTCCCAATCCACTCCTTCAGAAAGAGCTGTCTCTTCTCCTCTATCAATTAATCTTTTTTTTTTTACTTTCTGTGTAGCTGCTGTGCACAGGAATGCATGTTTGTGGTTTATTCACCCAGTGAGACCCGTAGGGCTTCTGTTAAATGCATTGTAGTCTTGGATGAGTTTTAAAGCTGGGCTATTTGCCTCTTCTGCCCTTTGGATGGCAACACCGGAGCCGGGGCCAAAGAGCTTCAGTATCAGCTCAAACACAACGAGATGAGATGAGATGGCTTTTCTTTGGGGCTTGACAGAGCTGATGCAGATCATTTGAATATTAATAGCAGCAACACCAGTTACTGACATGTAAAGATGTTCCTTTTCTGTGGTGAGTGGCGTTTTTACAGTACTCAATGCCTGGCTGAAATGATTTAGAAATGTCAGTACATTTCAGTTGTATATTCGGGTTGTTATAGCAAGTTAATAAGTTAATTTCTCAAATGATGGGAGACGCTTGCTTTTTACTGATTGCATTTCATTTTGTGCTCTGGGAGATTGGTTTTGGCCATATTTGTAGTTTGAAGGCTCAGTTATTCACTTTTCTTTCAGCAAAAATACACAGTAAATAATGACAATAATCACTTTTAGGCCTCTTTAGACTATATTTAATTATTATCAAGTAAACTTTTAACAAAACTACTTATGTAGAAGAATGAAATTAAGTGCATGTCCACTGTGTTTCCACAGCAATATTATTTTTGGCATAAACTTCAATTTATTTTCTCTCCCAGATGAATCTATCGATATTTCCTTTTATTATCTTTTTATCAAAAGACATACTAGAAAACGGTCCATTTCATGTTCCCAGAGCTCAAAGTGTTTTTCAGCCAACAATTCAAAACTGAAATATATAATTTTGACCTACAATGTTACAAACCAGAGAAAAGCAACAACCTTTCACACGTGGAAGTCCGAACCAGGGGTTGGGTCTTTGCCAGAAAATGATTTATACCATAAATGGATTATCCAAATTACAGCAGATTATTTTTTGTTGCAGAACTGTCGTTTTAATGAACTTGCAAATGTGAGTGTACACCTAAATAACTATTACTGTCATTTGTACTATTTAATGGGCACAGTTAAAACTTCAGAAAGCTCATTTTTTACATCCCAGTAGTCTTCATTAATTTATTTATTTTTCACTTGCCTCACTAAATCAAGAGTGTGATTTGCAAGTTAGTAGTCAAATGAAGAGCTTGTCCAGTGTAAACAGACATGACATTGTGTCATAATATTCCTGCTTGTAGGTGTTTTCCAAAAGCATAAAATCCTCATCTTAAAAAAGCCCCCCCACACCAAACTCCCAGCAGAGTTTTTTTCAGAGAGTATGGCAGAAAAACTAATTTTTCCAAAAGTTAAATCAGCATCTCCGTTTCATATGAATACCTCCAACAGACTTTTCAAACATAGCTCTGAGTCAGCTGTCCAATCAAAGCAGGGACGTGTTTCCCCCCTTCTCCACACCAGGAGAGGAGTGTGTAATATAGTGTGTGTTTTCATTTGCCCTGGTACGAGGCCAGCTGTCGAGCTGTGTGTGTGGCAGTGGGGTGTGTGTGTGTGGGGGGCGGGGGGATCAGGTCAGGGCCGGAGCTGCGATCCTGGGGGCCGGACAGAGGCCATTTGCCGGGTGTCTGGGGTGTCCGCGGGGAGAAGAAAGGGGAGACAGAGCGGGGTTGTGTTCGCTCGGGGTTATTAGATATTCTCCGTCTGCTGGTGTGGAGGATCAGGAAGCGGTATAAGTAAGATTGATTGTTAGAAAGGCAATGCTGGGTTGGATACAGGAATTTGATATCAGCAAGGGACTGGAAAGTGAGGAAGTGGGGGTGAAAACTTCAGGCCGTGTTCAATCTAACAGGAATAGGCATTAGGGCTACTCAATTTGTTGAAATGTAATCAAAATGGCAATATTGAATGTGAAATATAGTCGCAGGAAGTATACTTTTCTAAAGGTTTGAACGAAGTATTGTGGAGCTGTAGACACACCTACCAATAGGATCCTACAGACTCAGAACCAATCAAAAACCAATATTGTTTGGTATAGATCCTCCTGAAAACAATCACATCATGCTAATCGTTCAATGATACTGAGATGAATGACATCGTAAACTGCCACTTTATTTCTTTTTCTCCCAAATTATTCTATCAATTGTATTCCTTGATTATGTATTTGGTCAACATATCGTGAGAATAGTTCATTTCCAGTTACCAGAACTCAAAATGACTTCTTCAAATGACAACATAATCGCTCTTACTTATTTCCTCCACATCGTGCAGCC